GGACAGGTCACGGCCCAGGTCCCCGTTGTGCTGGGATCTGTACAAACACAGAACACAGAGACGGTCCTGGCTAAGTAGGGAACAATCTCAGTATGAGACAAGAGACAACAGGGGGCGACAGATCGGCCTGTGGGTGGCAGAAGGCAGCAATGAGAGAATTCTGGCAGCGGGATGGGGAAGGGTCTCAGCACACCCATGGCCTCACTGCTGTCAGTTTGTTTGTAGGCATCATGGCAAAGGAGAGCTGGAGGGAGGGTGGCAGGAGGGGAATGAGTTAGTTCTGGGGGTGTTCCCAGGGCGCATGTCCACGCGTGAGGGGCAGCATGGGGGATGCTGGCCCGGCTGCACTGCAGTGGTGGCGGCAGTGACCCCTCTCCATGTGCATGTGATAGAAAATATCTGTGTGCCCAGCGATGCAAAGCTTGTCCATTGCTCTCTACACATCAGACGTGCTGCGCTAACGTTATGCTAACGACCCCTCCCAGCAGCCCCGTAACGGCCGTTCACAGAGTAAAGGCCAAATTCAGAGCTGAGCACCGCTAGCTGTACCCACATGGAACTGACATCCCCTTCCGCACCCCGCTGGATTTGTCCCAATGAGGCCGACTCCACGGGAATGATCCAAGTTTGTTTCTCTGTCACTGTGAGGGGCCAGGAGGACAGGGGAGTAGCTAGAAAAGCCAGGGACAAGGGGGCACAGGGAGGTGTTGTAGCATCACCCCCCATTCAGTGTGGATCATGCTTCCCCGTCTGTCCAGAACATGGCGCAGATACCAAGGCCAGGACTTAGAACCTGATTTGTAAAGGGATTTAGACGCCTAAAGATGTTGCTCAGCATGTTTAAAAATCTGCCCCTTAGTCCTTTGCTCAAGATATAGAGGCTCCAGCTTTAGCTCGACAGTTCTCCTGTTCAAGCCCTGGTGACAGATGTTACAGAGTGTTTGACACCATGTAATATTTATGTTTGGATCAATGCAGATAGGCTGTAGGCAGCAGCTGCAACTAAGGAATTATGTGGTCAGAAAGACAAAGTAGTGACCAGATTTACTCTGCTACATGCGCAGCTTGTAAAACTGTGATTCCCCATAACTAAAAATAAGCATTTTCCTAGATTTAGCTCCGTACAGAAGTAGATAGAGAGAACTTCTCAGTCTGTGATAGCACCATCCGGTTGTGTTAAATATTCAAATAATAAGAGCAAATATATTAAATTATATTAAATTAATGAGAGCAAAAACCTGTTTCAATTTGAACTTCAAATAATAATTGAAAATATACAAATTTATAGGGAGATACTTTTTTTAAAAATAACAAATCTAAACCGGAAGTTATATTTGAAATGTGAGTGTCTTTGTTGTTAAAACTGAGGATTAAGATATTTTAAAAACCAGCAGCCAGTGAGCAGGGAATGGATTTGCATGAAGGGGCCGTTCTCCAGCACTGGGGGTTTAAGAGAGAATCGGAGGGTCCCAGCCACAGACCTGTTTGCCTCAGGAAGCCGAGCGTGTCTGGATTCCCACCATGGCCTGGGCCCCTCTGCTCCTCACGCTGCTTACTTACTGCTCAGGTGAGGGAATTGTTTGCTTCAGTGACAAAAATATGAAGGACACTTGCAGGTGAGGAGGTTTGTCTGTGAGGATCCAGAGTCCTTGTGCTGAGTGTGTTTGTAATGTTGATTTCAGGGGTCAGTTCGCAGCCCGTGGTGACTCAGGAGCCCTCGATGTCGGTGACCCCAGGAGGGGCTGTCACTCTGTCCTGCAGCCTGAGCTCTGGAGCCGTCACCACCAGCCACTATCTCTCCTGGTACCAGCAGAAACCTGGCTCTGCTCCTCGACTGCTTATATATGAAACTAATAAGAGACCCTCCGGGATCCCTGCCCGGTTCTCTGGGTCCATATCCGGTAACAACGCTGCCCTGACCATCACCGGTGTCCAGGCAGAGGATGAGGCTGACTATTACTGTGCTGTGGCAACTGGTAGTGTGAATCACAGTGATCCAGCCAGAGGGGGAACTGAGACAAAAACCTCCCCTTTCTTCATCTCCTCCAGCCTGGGCTCTGCAGCCATCACCACCAGCAACGCTCCAGGCTGGTTCCAGCAGAAACCAGGCTCTGCTCTTCGACAGCTTATATATGAAACTAATAAGAGACCCTCCGGGATCCCTGCCCGGTTCTCTGGGTCCATATCCGGTAACAACGCTGCCCTGACCATCACCGGTGTCCAGGCAGAGGATGAGGCTGACTATTACTGTGCTGTGGCAACTGGTAATGCGAATCACAGTGATCCAGCCAGATGGGGAACTGAGACAAAACCCTCCCCAGTCTTCCTCCCCTCCAGCCTAGGCTCTGCACTGGCTGCACAGTTTGGTTCCTCCCTTCAATACATCAGACACTCATTGCTCGTTTTTAAAAATTTCAGCTTTTGCTGT